GAGATAAGAGAAAATATATATATATATATATATATATATATATATATATATATATATATATATATATATATATATATATATATATATATATATATTAATAAATCAATCAATGATACATCAGAGCTCATATAACAACTTTTTTATTACGTTTCGGGGCAAGCCCCTTCTTCAGATTACATGTGTACACTTGATTTCAATAAAAAGGATTGTCCGTCGGTACAGATGGAGAAATGAATCTACCATCGGTAAATTTGAAAAGTCCGTCGGTGAATGAGATAGTTAACATTATTGCGATAGCATAAGGAAGCCCTCCAAAACACTGTCCGTCGGTACCGACGGTACGGATGGTAAGGCAATTCACCAACGGTAAATAGAAATTGTCCGTCGGTACCGATGGAGAAATGAATTTACCGTCGGTAAATTTGAAAAGTCCGTCGGTAAAGGAGATAGTTAGCATTACTGCGATGGCATAAAGTAGCCCTCCAAAATACTGTCCGTCGGTACCGTCGGTACCGATGGTAAGGCAATTCACCAGCGGTAAATAAGGATTGTCCGTCGGTACCGATGGAGAAATGAATTTACCATCGGTAAATTTGAAAAGTCCGTCGGTGAATGAGATAGTTAGCATTACTGCGATCGCATAAGGTAGCCCTCCAAAACACTGTCCGTCGGTACCGCCGGTACCGATGGTAAGACAATTCACCAGCGGTAAATAAGGATTGTCCGTCGGTACCGATGGAGAAATGAATTTACCATCGGTAAATTTGAAAAGTCCGTCGGTGCATGAATGAGATAGTTAGCATTACTGCGATGGCATAAGGTAGCCCTCCAAAACACTGTCCGTCCGTTGGTACCGCCGGTACCGATGCTAAGACAATTCACCATCGGTAAATAAGGATTGTCCGTCGGTACCGATGGAGAAATGAATCTACCATCGGTAAATTTGAAAAGTGCGTCGCTGAATGACGTAATTATAAGGTAACCCCGCATCCAGGGTGGAAACACCGGAGTCAACATGAACGTCTAACTTCGAGCTCCGCTAAATTTTAACATTTTGTGTTAAATCTTGGCTCAATCTTTACGCGAACTGTTACAAATTTACTGAAATTAGCGGCTATTAAACTTGTTTATCCTTAAACAAGCTTAAATCCCTACAAAAAAAACTAATTAGTTGAGAAAATTAGACGATTCGTCGAATACATTCACGTGTAAATCGATATCAGCCGAAATGAATCAAGAAATCAAAGGAGGAAGTCTTA